AGAACAAAATCTACTTTGTAAACATTGCAATAGCTATATATTAACATTCCACAGAACATCAGACATAGGCACATTCAAATATAAAGAAAAATGCTCCGAAGTCAAATATAAATGAGAAGTGCTCGCTTTGTGATTAGTTGAAACTAATCATTACCTCCGCCCCCTACTGCAGAGTGCTTGCTCAGAGATAACGAAACAGCTCATGTTATTGTTTTATTGCCCCCAGTATGCTGGGGTTATAACTAATTAATGTATTCTTTCTGTGAAAGGCTAAAAGGAGACAATATTCTTATGCAGTATAGGAAGGAGCTGACTTCATTAAGAGGTAAAGCTCTCGAAGCTACAACTCACCGAAAGAAAGCTATAATGAGACTGGGGGAGAGACGTCAAGTTTTTCTCTTTGAGAACAAGCAATCTCATTTAAGGACTAATTAAATAAAGCCCATCAACTCAGTTGAGAAAATAGCTAAAATGTTAAGTCAAAGGTAACAGAAGTGTAAATACAAGCAGAATATGACAGAATTATACCTGCATTCTTTGTACATTTATTTTCTTTTCAAGTCAACAAATATGTAGTGGACCTTTGCTGGGAGATGATCAGCATCCTATGCTTAGCAGCCTGATCATGTGCTTACCGAATGGAAAAGTGACAAGGCTCTGAGCTGTGACCATGCTCCTGTTCCTCACACTGGTCTGTCTCAGAGTGTCAGAAGTTTATTAGTCAGTACATTCATCAGTGGTAGACATGGTGGTGTTGGTCTTTTCCTAAAATTTCTTTCTCAAACTTAATCAAACCTTTACTGCCACCTTGTGGCAAAGGGGAGTATGTATCCAAAATAAATCCACTCTAGTTCATTAAAACAGAGTTTAGCAGCAGTCCACTAACACACTTATAGAAATATTCAGTTCAACAAACATTTGAACAATTACTATGGGTTAGGCATGGGACAAGGAATTGTTCTTACACAGATGAGAAACTCAGGTTTTATTTTCAAGGAGTACATGTAACAGAGTAGGAGAAATCTTCAAATCTCACAAATCTCCCTTAGAAAGGCACATCTACTTATTTCTTACGTTCCTTAGCTGTCATTCTGGGCCCTGCTCTGCCACACTCCTGGTCACCTGACTTATAAAACATATTAAATACCATTAACCCTTCAAGCCCTATCACACTAGAGAAGGACTTCAGATATTAACATTTTGGTCTTAAGGGCTCCAAACAAATTCTGAGGTCACCCCGCAGGTGTCCAGGCTACAGGCACACAAACAAATGCCCATTAACTCAAAGGCTGGCACCTGTGTCCTTCTAAGAAGCTGACAGTGTCCTGAACAACCAGGTGTCACTAAAACCACAATCAAACATTTTTATCCACTGAATTTTTTCCCTTCCTTCTTTTTTTAAGTATGAAATATGCATTTTAAAAGGTTATGAATGCCGCCCCTCCCACATGGCTTAAGTACAGCAGCACCAGGGTCTCGAAGCCCCATGTGCAACTGCAGCCCTCCTGCCGCCAGGCCTGGTAACCACTATTCTTCTGTCTATCTTTAAGGTAAACCCCCAAACTTGTTTCTTTTGCTCTTCAGCTGCAAAGGGCTCATGTACCGAGGAATTACAACATTCTCTGCTCTCCAAGCCTGCTCACGCTCTGCCATCCAGGAATCAGAAAGGACACAGAGAGCACCAACAGGGGGTCTCATGTGACACTCACCTCTACCCCAGCACCTAGTCTGGTGCCTACCTGTTGGTGACTGCTTGTTTCACCTACACCAAGACTCACAGGACAAAGAAACAAAACAAGGATGCTCTGGAGCGGAAAACAAAGCTCCCTTCCTTACCTCTGCTTCTACCTGCTGCTGAGTTCGGCTGTGGTTCTCCTTGTACTGGTTGGCTCTCAGAACTTGCTGCTCGATGCCTAGCAGAACCGCTTCGCAGCCGTCACACCTACAACGGAGATAACCAGCCCTGAGCCACAGAAGGGCCTGGGATCTGTCCTCCAGCCTCCGGAATCTCCCTCCCCAACTCCCTACTGGGTCTCCCTGTAACACCCCCTCTGCTGGGGCTTTCGCCCCTTCACTACTTCTAAAAGACAAGCATTTCTGAACACATGTCACAGGGCGCGTGGAGACAAACACAGAGGATGTGGGGTGGTTTCACAGAATACAGTTGTCATCTTCAACCTTTGTATCTCACGGGAAAGTTTCACAGAACGTGAGATTAGAGGAAGTAGGAGAGACTTCACTGATGAATCACTTTTCTTGAGAAAAAGTTATTTTCTAAAAACATCCTATTTTGGAGATTGTCCCCTTTCTCATTAGTTTAAGTTACTTCCTTATCGTCATCCTCCTCATTTTATTTTTCCCACTTTTTATCTTGAAATTTTTGAAACTTAAAAAGATTGAAAGAATGAATATCCACCATCCCTCCACTTAAGGCTGAGTAGCTGTGAACATTTGGCCATATTTGTGATGCCGCTCTACAGTCCCATTTTGTTTCGAATCTAACTGCAATGCCTAAACACAAGTTTTAAGAATCTGTACTAATAAACATCCTCGGATGGGGTGAGGATGGCACCTCTGGGTGGAAACATCTTGGGGGCTAAAAACAAAGGAAGCCAGACTATGAACATGAAAACTGTCAGCCAGCCTAAAAACGGCATAAGACAGCCAATGTTTTAGTAAGACTAGAAACCTAGATTCTACATGCCAGAACATTTTCATGGTAAGGGTAGTTTCTAAATTTATTTCCCATTTATTCTGATTTAATAGTTCGATAATCTTTTGAAAGCTCCTGCTTGTGTCAGAGGTTGTAAAGGGAAGGTCTTTGGGGCCACATTTGAGCCAGATCTTAGGGAGAGGAGTCGGAAGCACATGCCCTGGGGTCCAATTGTAGCTGAAGTGAGGGAAACTCGGGGTGGGGGGTATTAGACTCCGGGGATCAAAGCTGGGCCTTTCATCTCTGGATACACTCCTCTTGTGGACAACACCCTCCCCCTCTGCACAAGGCTCACCTGCCCCGCTTCTTGACCTATGACATGCCAGGTGCCTGCCCCGCCTCACCTCCAATCACACTCTGACCCTGGGCCGCCTTCAACACTCAGCTAAAACCTCTCCTCTAAATCCATCTGGCTTTACAAGCCTCAAATCACGTAAATGATTTCATAACAAACTCTTATAGAATCTGCAATGGTTCCTGCAAACATCAAATTCTACTAAAATAATAGAGTACGTGCAAATGTCCCACTTTTCATACACCAGAATTATCAAAAAGTCTGTGTGCGAGTCTGTGTTCCAACTTAGAATAACCCTGTCTTTACTTCCTTCACAATGTTTTATAAACACTACCCTATATGTTATTGATGCTGAACACAGGTTCTCTTACCCAAAGGATCTTACCAACACTAACTTTCTGAGCTTGGTCTAACTCTGAGGCTGAGTTTGCAAAGCACAGGAGCATTGTCACAGCTAGGCTTTAGAGGTTCCATCTGCCAACCTTGGCATTTTATAGCCCACCATTAAATAGCCCCCGGCTACGCTAGGACAAGAACTATTTTACAACCAAGGCCCCAGGAGGCCTGAAAAGACTCTTGTTGCCACACCGCTATAGTCACAAATGCAGCCCACCACTCTCTAGCTTACTGTCCTAAGGCCCCAGGTCCCCGGCAGCCTCAGCTAATACCTGGCGAACACATTTCCCCAAGCAGAGGACAGCTATCCCCTCCCCTAAAGACAAGGGACCCCTCCCTTCCTTCAGCCTCACCATTCGTGCAAGGTCTTGACAATATTATTGATGTCCTTCTTTTGGATGTCACGGCCAATGCAGAAATCCACTTCCAGCAGCTGGTTTCGCTGGTCCAGCTTGCCCTGGATGATGTCAGTGTAGACAGCCTCGATGATGAGGTCTTCCAGTTCCCGGAGGTTCCGCATCTCCAGGTCCTTCAGCAGCACGGAGTAGGGGATACACTGTAGATAAGGCCATGTGATATTTACAAAACCACCGGCAAACATTAAAGAAATGCAGGTGTTACCCACGTAGCCAACACCTGCCTCAAGGCTTTGGGAAATGCAGTCTAGTGGTAATCATTAAAATCTATGGCAACAAGAGATGGATAAATGAGCTGCGAGACCTGTGGGATTCGAACAAGACCCACAGTATCTAGAAATGCATTCTCTGAGATTCTCCACCTCCTGGACTTTGCCCAGACTTCAGCTTTTCTGCTCTGAAGCAAACTCTTGGAGGTCTTGAAGACTCTTTCCAGAGGAGAAAGGGAAATACTATATGCCACTCTGCCGCCTTCTGGAAGCTTGCAGACTTTGCATAAAATGCCAGATCATCACGAAACTCCAAACGATCTCAGAAGCTGGCAAGAAGAACTGGTTGCTTGCCCAGCAGAGTGCAAGCAAAAAATCTTGCAGGCTAACACATCCACCTACAGGTAGCCAGTTAGTGCGGCCAACTCAGTTGCAAACAACTGACGCTTACAGCAGTTTTCTCAAACGCTTGCAACCAATGTCAGTTCCCAGCAACAGGCCGTCACTGGGCTGCATCAACATTCTGCATGACTCTCAGACAGCTGGATATCGGAACATCCAGTTTTCTGCAAATCCCCTGACACGTCACTATTAACTTGAAAATTAACACAGCAATCAAATCTGTACAAGACATGAAGAAAATGCATATAGGGAAGAGAGGGTAACAGCAAACATATCTAGAGGGGTTTTCTATGACTAAAGGTCCAAACTCCAGGGGCAGGAGGTGGGCTTACAATGACAGGTTGCAGAAACAAGAAAAAACTTACTTCTACTCCTCACTACACTTGAGATGTCTACGATCGGGGAAGAAAAAAGGTCAAGTTCTCATTTCCTAACAAAATTGGCCTCCCACCTGAAATGCCAGGCTGAGAATCAGAAATTTGTGATTAGAACAGGTAAAATGACTTCAGCAACTGAAATGACAATGCAAGAGGAAATATATATCTCTCAAGCTCAGTCACAGAGGGGAAATGCAAAAAGCAAACTTTTTCAAAGGCACAGCCCCTACAAAAAACTTAGACACTCAGGCTGGGATTGGGCGGAGAGCCAAAATCAATTATAAATGAACACAATCTGGATCCTGTTAATGACTCTGAGCAGCTGGTTGCAAGGCTTCTAAATTGAGTGGGGCAGAGATAAAGTGGAGTGGCATCTTTCAGGAAGTTAGGGTCTAAAGCTAGCATATAAGGCAAAACTTCCAATTAGTATAATTAACTTTGAAAATCCCCAGAGGAAGGCAGCATAAAAATCTACCTCTCAGTAAGTTCAACACAGCAAGTTTTTCCAGTATCAGTGCAGTTCACTGTACATTGAACAACAGATGAAGAGGTAACCTTGCCTTGAGATGCCCTGCTGTTCGAAAAATACATATTTTTAGATAGAAGTCTTCCTTTAGAACAGCAAAATGCTCACGCCACAAGAGGTACCACGGCATGCCAGAGCTGAGACATCTTTCACGATCGCTCTTGGGCATACTTTTCCTAATGGGATGGTGAGTAACTATCAACACTATTTTAATTATCATTTTCTCTTTTGATGTTTGCCAAGCAAATTTTATGTGTTTATGATGTGACTCGACTTTTTGCATTTCCCCTCTGTGATGGAATTCATGCAACGATGCCAAGGAGAGACGTGCCTCGAGGTGAGAAGGAAGACAGGAAAGGGTTCTGGACTGTACCTTCATTCTCGACGCCAAGCTCACGATGGTAAGGTGTTTCAGCTTGTTCTGCTGAGCTGTGCTCAGTTCTGGCAGGCTCTCCTTGTTGGCTGCTCAGTCCCACCCACCACAAAAAAATCAAGACACAAAATCAAATTAGGATTTCTTTATGGAATGAGCACACCAATTCCCCACACCAAATCTACCGCTGAATCACTGTCAAGACTCTGCCCTTATTCATTAGGCAAACATTCCACAGGCACCTCTTGTCTTCCTTGGAAGACCATGTGCTTCCCAAGAAAAGATGCAGTCTCTATACACAGGAGCTTAATCTTCTGAAAAGCCAGGCATGAGTGCATAAAATGACACGAAATTATCTTCATGAAATACTACTGTGACATTCAATCAAGTCCAACATGTCATCGCTGAGCATGTTATGTGCAAGGCACTGTCTTAAATGATTCAGGGGCACTGAAAGTAACTAGGACAGGCCTTGGCAGGGCTGCCGTGTTACACGCCTCCAGAGGCACCAGCCACTCAGGCTACGTGACTCAAAGGCCCTGGAATTGTCTTCAGTCTTACAATCAGATAGCTCAACAGCTACCAATGCAAGGCAGAGCTACCACATGAAAAGTACGAACTACCAGAAGAGAGCAAAAGAGTGAGAAGGAGGGGGAGACGGAGAATGGGAGAGAGATAGGGAGAGAAGGGGAGAGGAGA